TGAATCACAAGACTGTAAAACGGTCCCAGATGAAATTTGAGTCAGAGAAGAGGTCAAACAGGGTTAGTAGAAGTCAAAGATGATAGGTGGGAGAAATCAGATATGGCTGTCCCACAGTCTGAATTTCGATTTTCAGTTGTCTACTGACTGACTGACCATATTTCGCTATTATAAAAATAGCCCCAAAATCGCCATACGGAGTAGAGTAAGGAACACACTTACTTCAGGAATATCTCTGAAGAAGATTATTGCAACCCGGGCTATGGTTGTCTGGTCAACCCCATCTCGCCATTTTCATCTCCTGAATATTTCCCAATGTTCCCACGTACCAAACTTCCTAAAACTTGGTGATCCAGTAGATCTCCCTGAGGCGCTTCACCCACAACTGAAAGATTCACCGAATCTGGACTCCCAGATGCTGATAACTGATCAACTCAGTGCAGCGCCACTTTACCCTGTACTGCGCTGCTTGGAAATTGGGGATCTTGACCCAATTCCAAAATCGTATCTCCCTGTACTGCGCTGCTTGGAAATTGGGGATCTTGACCCAATTCCAAAATCGTATCTCCCTGGGATCACTTCCTTGCTAATCGCCAGTATCCATTTGAGTCGCCAGGCTAAAAATGGCCTCCTCAGAGCCTCCCAGGCCTCTGAGCACCAATCGCCACTCACTCCTGCACAACCCTAAGCAGGAGTGTGCCACCCTCTGTCCAATCCTTCTCGCCACACACTCACCACCACAACCCTCACTGTTGCCAACCTTGAAGATGACAAATCGCCATGAGACTCAACTCCAGTGTCTCGCCAGATAGTGGTAGTTGCTGCAACTCATCATTCACTTCACTGTCTGGATCCAATTGCTCTGATATCAACTGTTATGAACCTGGTTGCTTGTTGTCAAAAGACCAACACCCACACACATAGACGTCCAGGCATGCCCATACATACACAGAAAGGAAGGCGAGAGGATGGGAGTATCACACCGCAGAGGGAGAGATAAACACAACGGAGGACTTGACCATGCGATATGACAGAGAACACTGAAAGTGCACTTCACTCCACAGAATCCTTACAACCAGTCACAAAGGAAAACTGAGTAGATCACATCCAAGAAACAATGAAGCAAAGACAGTTCACACCCAGTATCAACACTGTTTATCAAACTCAGATTCTCGAATTGTCAGAATAACCCCCAAACTATGGTGTGCTGGTCAGAATTGAGCAGCGCCTCACTCCCCAACCCTGAGTAACCGCTATCACTACCCCTGAGCCCCGGAAACATCAAGCGCCACCCAAATACAACCTCTAGAAGGCAGCGCCACCATGAAACAGGCCTATGAGGCCAAGCGCCTCTCAGAGGATGAAGAAGAAGACTAGCGCCACAGTGCCTGATTATGATGAAGTGCCGATTGACTTCCCGGGTGGAAATCTGCAGCAGTGCCACCTCTCCTGACAATATGAACTTCGAGGAAGAAGCTGCAGCTATGGCTGCAGCGTACCACACCCTGAAACCCTAATCCGGAAGAGGGTCCAGCAGGGCACCATTTCTCTCGCCTCCAACAGACTTCAGATAGCCCGAACCTATGAACAGCCCCGCGTGCTGTCAGAGTACAGCACAGGGCCCAGCTATGGCCAGCGCTCCGCAGGTCCGACTGTGTCTGTCTCATCAACGTTGAAGCTGTTACCACTCCAGTTCATGCGTTGCACAGTCGCGATGTACACAGTACCAACTGCCAAAAGCCCTGGACCGATGTCCTCATTCTATCTATAACCTACACTAGCCTAGACGTGACCTAGACCGGACTGACTGGACCGACCGGTACCGTTTCAGTTTTGACCTCTAGGGCCTCTCCCAACCCGGCTATAGGCTATAGAACCGTCTATCAGCTTAGGCCCACAGGGCCTATCTGTCCTTGGGGTAGTCCGGGTCTGCTATTCGCAGTTAGGGTAGCTGTAGGCAATTTCAGTTAGTACGGGCCTATATTTTCTCAAATTTACAGATATGTCCCTGAAGAATTTTTCCTAGAGGTAGGTCTCTCGGTTAGCCCTCAGCCAAACAAAATTACGAATATATACTACCTATAGTACAGCGTCGACAAGAGAGGCTACATGCGACCAGAAACCAGCAAGTCGTTGCAGTTATATGCCTTGCAACAAAAGCACCAGGGACGCAGCTTATGAGCTTTGTGAATATGAAACTACCGGACGCAACTTATGAGCTTTGTGAATATGAAACTACCTCCCCCAAGGGACGCAGCTTATGAGCTTTGTGAATATGAAACTACCTCCCCCATATTCTGTATGGTATGACATCATCAATGTTGAAAGGAAGATTGGGCGGGGTGTTTAAGCGCCAACATCAGATAATCATCATGCTGAGCCATATATGCATGGAGGGGATCAATTAAGTCAACTGTATCGTAGATATGCCCAAAATCATGGATGAAAGCGGCTTGGATTTCTATTGGGATGCGCCAGAATTCAATTCTACCTAATAGAAATCCTCCATCATTTGACGGCGCCTCTCATCCGGTCCCTGTTTTTGGGGTGTCCACAGATATAGCTTGACTTTGGACCGATCACACCACAATTTTCTCTAGTCTTCCATAAAAAGACCATTGCCGAGACTGATTGTATTCGAAAATCTTGGTTGGCTGCCTCTTGGCTTCGTTTCAATTGCCCTAGCCTCTCACCTACTTGTCATTCGTGAATTTGCAAGCTGCGTCATCATGAAAGACCTAGTTGTTGGCATGCAGTTGATAGACTGAATCAACAACCTTTGTTTCTGAAGGGCTAATGAACTTAGATAAGAAGAAAAGAAAGTAAAATGAACTCCAAACTGTACTGAACTTATCATACTATTACCTAGTATTAAATAACAAAAAGACAAAGAAACTGCATGTGAAACGTTTTTCACCTTTTTGCAGTCACAGATGCGGGCCCTAGAGTTCGATCCCCAGACCTCACCTTACCCATGTACAGTATCGAGTTGACCCCCGAGTGTTTGAACCCGTGACCTGTGTTTCGGTAGTTGGGTGTATGCCTGTCGTAGGTCTATGTAGATGTAGGGGTTCAATCTGTAGGTCTGTCGAGTAGGGAACACAACTTTGTAGAGGTCGTAGCTGTAGGTGTTACGAGGGGTCAAGGTCGTAGCTGCTACAGTCCTGAAAGGTCAAGGTCGTATCTGCTACAGTATTCGAGAGGCCCAGTCCACAGACTTCCGGAAAGTCCGGAAGTGGCCTTTCGAAAGGGTCTCATGTTTAGCCAGAGGCAAGTGGGCTGCGTTGAGTCGGCAGTGCGACTGCGTCGAGTCGGCAGTGCAACCCCGTGCAGGCAGCGGTACCGGTTCCGGTCAGTCACAGTCCAGTCAAGCAAGTACCGTATGGGACTGTGCACACCCAGGGCCTGGTGGAAAGGGGCAGACCAGCAGCAAACAGAAGTATAAATCAAGAGCATCACCCATAAATTCATTCATTCGCTGCGTAAGCCATGMGGAAGCGCTGCTACAGCGTCTTGTGCGAGGTGGTCTGCAGGTCGCTCGAAGTCGAAGTGGGCTGAAGAGAGACAATATAGCCATAGCTAGTAGTAGTAGAGCAGCCATAGCCGCTGTAGGAGGAAGATAGGCTTAGTGTGTGTGTGTAAGAGAGAGAAGCGTGTGGAGTATTCATGGTGATCCAGAGTTGCGTATGTGCATATGGTGGTGTTGGACACAGTGACGTGAGTGGTGTGTGCAGGTGCTGAAGTGCCATAGCTTTTCTTGAAGTGAATTCGCATCTGAACTGTGTTCTCGATTTCCATATCTCTGAGCTTTGAGTGGGCGGACTGCGCCAGTGTGAATCGCCATCTGTTTGTATGTATGCGAAGTGGAAAAGAAAGCGAGTCTGATTGCATTGGTATCGGAGCTGGTTCCCGTTACCCCACGCGCGTCGTCGTTGCCAGCGGGGAAGGAGACGCACACCGGATAGGCGCCATAGCCGAGGTGCACCGAAGGAGGGAAGTCTGCCATAGTTGCATTGCGGAGTGAGGTGCCGTGTACCTGCACAGAAGACAACGACGAAGAAGAGGAGAGAGAGAGGAGCGATACAAGATTGTTGTCCGGACCAAGGGAGAAAGCGGCCATAGCCGCGGAGCTCGAACACAGGGTTACTAAGAAAGAGGAAGGTGAAGTGAAGGAGAAGGGAGGAAGACGAATGAGAAGAAGACATAGCTAGGGAGAAGGAAGGAGGGACAACGAAAGTGAAGGAAGGCATAGCCGGGGTGAAGTGAGAAAGAAAGAGAAAGAAGGAAGGAGGGAAAAGGAGGACAAGGAAGGTTGGCGAGGAAGAAAGGGGTCGGCAGCCATAGCCGAACCAAGGGTTGACTAAGGTGTTGACCGAAGGGCTGACCAACGTTGACCAAGACTTTGACCAGAGAGTTGACCAGCGAGCTGACTGGCGTTGATCGACGAGTTGACCAAGCGTTGACCAGCGATGACCAGCGTTGACCAGGGCTTTTGACCACGAAATTGACCAAGCTGGAGTTGGTATATTCTCGCCAAGCCTTCAGCCTATCCCCTCGCCCTATGGATGTGCACTCACCCCATGGTACTTGTTGAGTCTGTTTGTCTCTTCTTTCTACATTGAGTCTCTTCTGTCTAGGTGATAGGAACTATGTGTATGTGGTCATAGGGCTTTGTTGACCAAACCCACACGGGCTGAGTAGGGCTAAAGGTCGTGTCTAACGACTTGACTGACCCGGAGGACACGAACCCTCCCAAGGACCGGTACAGACCGGCGGGCTGCTCAGTGTGGGACTGAAGCCCCAAAATCCGAGTTGTGGGCTGCACAACAAGTTGTCTAAGTCTTGAGAGGGCTTGCTGATCACGTCATCCTGTTTGCGACGTTAAAGAATTCCCGAGGAGTTACGGGGGATCTCCTTAAATGCCTCCTGATCAGCAATAAGTCCTGTAGTGACAACCTTAGTTTAGGTCTAGGCTTGAGACCCTAGTTGACAAGATCTTACCAAGAATCTGTGGTCCGTCGTTGAGTCAGTCGGGGGGTGAGAGTCTGAGTGGTGAGGAGTGGAACTGACTTTCGGTTGTACGCCTTCCACCATGGTTGAATTACGTAGTGGCAAGAGCACCACCCCTTATACAAAAGCTCAGGAAGAGCAAGCTGCCGCCGTACTTCAAGAAAGAAAAGAGAAGGAGACTAAGAAGGAGTTGATTAGGCAGGCCAAGAAGTTGGCCTTACAGGAGGAGCATGCGGCGAAGAGGAAGAAGTTGGAAGAGGAGATGGAGAGATTGAAGAAGGAGGAGGAAGAGAAGATGAAAGCAGTAGAAGAAGAAGAGATAGAAGAGGAAGAGGAGGAGGAGGAGGAGCCCTTGATCAGAAGAAGCGCAGGGCAGAGAGGAGAATCCAGTGGCCCTAAGAAGGAGGATTCATGGATGGAGAAAAAGGTCTCTGAGTGGGTGGCAAATTTGTCACTGGGGGAAGAAGAAGAAGCCATGTTGTATGTCCCCAGGGAGGAGAAGTAAGCAATTATTAGGGAGTTGGAGGAAGAAGGAGATCCCTTGAGACGCCAGACGATAGAGCAAGAGAAAAAGCTACAGTGGAAGCTGCGTCTTACAAGGGAGAGGAAGAGAAGGATGGATGAGGCAAGCTGAATGGCAAAAGAGTTGGAAGCAATAAAGGAGCAGAGAGAGCAGATGCAGGCTCAAGCAGATATACAGGGAAAGCTAGATATTATTACGAGAAACATTGAACTCCTGGCTAGAGCCTGGGACGAGCAACATCAGTTTGCTAGGGCCCAAGACATAACATTGCATTGCATTCGTCTAGGTTTTGGGGATTTTGGACGTGAAATTATGCGACACGTAGGTGCAGTAATGGAAGTGAGGATAGAGGGCACTGAGAAATTTTGCACAGGCGCCATTGAGGGCGCAAAGCTGGCTGTCCAAAAGGAGGAGGAGATTCGCCCCCATAGAGAGCCCTTAAAGATCAAGTTTCCTAAATCCTACAGTGTGGGAAGAAGGAAGAAAATTTTGACAACTGGGAGGCGAATGTTAACACATACGTCTATTTACAACATATCGTAGCTGAGGAACAAGTCCTCATTGCCTTCCAAGCCCTCAAAAACGAAGCAGCCAGCTTCGCCAGATCACTCGCTCGTGCTGTACAGTGCGAGAATAATATGGTAGCTTATTCTAAGATCACGCCTCTCCCTGTATTCCTTAGATTATTAACTGCAAACCATCCACTCACGCCAGTGGAGGAGTGCAAGGGCACTCAAAGGCGTTATGGACGAATTGGTAGCCGTCCCAGACCACGAGGTCACTGAGACCCAGTTGGTCAACTTATTTTATTGTGCCATGCCAGAGCCCTTGTGTGGGCACTTCTTCGAAAAAAGCCGACAACCCACCATGACATATGATACGCTGAGTAGAGAGGTGGTGCTGTTTGAGGCACAGTCCATGCCAGTTTCCACTTTTTGGCATAAGGACTTAGATAAGGGGAAAAAGTGGAAGGGCCGTACCATCTCTGGTCAGGCTAGGGCCAAGGATCATCTGATCCTCACTTTGGATGAAGGTGGTATGGATGAGGTCCCATACAGTCAGATTGAGTGGCGCCTGGAGGAGGAGGACAGTAGTGGGGGTCAGGAGAGGACCTACGCTGTTGTCGCGACTGGAGGGAGGCCGCAAGGAAGAGGAGGAGGCCAGGGCCAAGGGGGCTGGGCCTCAGGTGGCTGAGGATAGGGCGCTCAGGGGGTTGGCGGCAGAGGGAACCGCCAAGAGGGAGGTAGGGGTCAAGGTCCCCCGCCAAATCGTTCACGTTCCTATCGGTCACCTCCAAGAAGAGGTGGATGGCACCCAGGCTTGCCACAAGGCAGGCCATGGGAAGATTTGGGCTTGGACCAGTCTGTGTGGCAGCGCCGTGTGGACCAGGATCAGTGCATTTATTGAGGTGATCCTGGCCACATAATTAAATATTGTCCAAAGTATAGAGAAGCCCGTTATGCTGCACAAGCAGCAAAAGACAACCACCGGTAGGGGTTGCAACTGCCCTTACCCCTAGGCCATGTGGAGAAGAGTGTGCACACCACAGAGGAACTCCCAAACCACATGAGCCTACGACAGAGGTTGCTGGCCAGTACCTAGACAACTGTCCAGAGACTGCTTGTGTTAGAGTCTCTCTAGGTACTTCCCTCACAGGCGTGGCTGAAGAGTTGAAGGAGAGGATGCTTGCCTGGGCCAAAATGAAGAAAGATGCGAAGGACAACTAGTGTCAGCAGATGTAGAAATTTTCAGAGGTAGAGTAGGGGACCTTATAGACAGTGGGGCCACCCGCAACTATATCAGTAGAAAAGCGTTGCAGAAGTTAAAGTTGAATTGAAGGTCCAAAAGTTAGAAGACCCTATAGTCAGTATCCTCGCAAACAATCGCACTATGCGAGTCGAGGATTACGTTGAGGGAGTCCAGGTGTACTTTCGCCTAAAGAAAGATGGGAAGGTGGAGAAAGTTTTCCATTCTCTGACTCTCCTCGTAGAGGATAACCTTCCTTTTGATATGGTCCTAAGAATGGATTGGGGAGAGGCAGCCGGGGCCACACTCCATTTGAGAGAGCATGAGTGTAGGCTCTCTAGTCCCACAGGTGAAGTTAAGACTGCTCGCCTGTTTCATGTGTCAAGAGACAACTCTCTGGCACATTGCTGCCTCAGTGCCCATGCGTTCGCGCGTCTAGTGAAGGAGCAGTTAGAAGAGCAGGTTTTTGTAGCCTATGTTAGGCCGGTCACTGAGCCTAAGGAAGAGAGACTCGTAGACCTTGCTATTGCCAAGCTGCTGGAGGAGTATACAGACTTAGTTAAGCCGCCTACAGGAGTAGTGCCGCGGCCGATCCAACGTCGCATAGAGATAGAGCCTGGCAGCAAGACTCCTAAGGGAACCATTTATAGAATGTCCCCAAGGGAGTTAGAGGAGTTGTGTAAGTAGTTAGACGAGCTCCTCGAAAAGGGTTGGATTAGGCCCAGTTCATCTCCTTTTGGAGCACCTGTTCTTTTTGTCCCCAAGAAGGAGGAAGGGCTTAGAATGTATAGGGGTCTTAATGCTATCACAGTGAAGAATGCAGAACCATTGCCCCGTATATATGATTTGTTGGATCGGGTGCAGGGCTGGAAATATTTCTCAAAGATAGACTTGAAGTCCGTCTATCATCAGATAGAGGTTCATCCTGATGATCAGTATAAGACAACATTCCGGACTAGATATGGGCACTACGAGTTTATACTTATGCCCTTTGGACTGACCAATGCGCCAGCAGCATTCGTAGTAGTGTACTTAGATGATATTCTAGTTTTTAGAAAGACCCTCCAGGAGCATGAGGGCCATCTGAGGCAGGTCTTGGAGAAGCTTAGAAAAGCTAACTTCAAGATCAACGCAAAGAAGTGTGAATGGTCCAAGACACAGGTTTTGTACTTGGGTCACGTCTTAGACGGAGACGACATAAAACTTGAAGATAGCAAGATATCAGCGATCAGAGATTGGCCAACGCCCCGCACGTTGACAGAGTTGTGGTCGTTCTTAGGCTTAGCCAATTATTATAGGAAGTTCGTTAGGAACTTCTCTACCATCGTTGCACCCCTTCGCAGGTTGCTAAAGAAAGAAGCAATCTGGAAATGAGACAAGGACTGTACATCAGCCCTGAAGAAGTTGAAGCGGGCTTTGATCGAGTATCCAGTCCTTAAGGTAGTCGATCTGTCCCTGCCTTTCGTTGTTACCATTGACGCGAGTCAGTATGGCATAGGTGCTGTTTTACAGCAAGATGATGGCAATGGATATAGGCCCATAGAGTTCATGCCTGCCAGGATGCCTTCAGAGAAGGTAGCGACATCAACCTATGAGAGGGAACTCTACGCTCTTAGGCAAGCACTAGATCATTGGAAGCACTACTTGCTTGGGAGGCACTTCAAAGTCTATTCAGACCACGAGACTCTAAGGTGGCTGAAGACATAGGCCAAGATGACACCTAAGCTTACTAGGTGGGCCGCAGAGATAGATCAGTATGACTTTGAGCTTAAGCCAGTTAAGGGGAAGTACAATGTAGTTGCGAACGCTCTACGTAGGAGAGCTGATTACTTTGGAGCGATAGTTCACTATCTGGACATAGGGAGGGACCTGCAGCAGAAAGTTAGAGAAGCGTATGCGCACGATCCTATCTACAGTGACCTCCTCAAGAGAGTTAGGGAGGCCCAGAGTCCGAACTAGACTACTGCACTACTGATGGGTTACTATTCGAGAAGACTAATGTAGTTGACCGTCTGTGCATTCCCAACAGTGAGGAGATTCATAGTTGATCTTAGGGAAATGCCACGACACAGAGGGACACTTCGGTTGGCAAAAGACACTAGCCAACCTCATTCACGTGTGTATCTGGCCTGGAATGAAGGCCGACTGCATAAAGTATGTACACAGTTGTAAAGTCTGTCAGAGAAACAAGACTACTATGCGAGCCCCTCTTGGTCTTCTCAGACCCTTGCCTATTCCTGACAGACCCGGAGAATCTGTGTCCATTGACTTTATGGATGCTGGGGTCAAGAGTAGGCACGACAAAAGTCAAGTCATGGGTATAGTAGATAGATTTAGCAAGTATGCAGTTTTTATCCCCTTGCCTGCAGAGGCACAAACAAATTTAGTAGTTCAAAAGTTGACCATTGGGTCAGTGAGCATGGTATACCGCTGCCGATAGTTAGTGATAGATATACCAGGTTCACCGGTCAGAACTGGCAGGAACTAATGAGAGTCTATGGTTCCAAGTTGTTGATGTCGTCTCGCCGTCATCCTGAGACTAACGGTCAGACTGAACAGATGAACAAGCTCCTGCAACAAGTTCTGAGAATGTACATTAGGCCCGACCAGATTAACTGGGATGAGATGCTCCCAAAGGTAGCCAGTGCATACAATAACAGCGTGCACTTGGCCACATGTCGCACTCGCAACGAACTGCACAAGTCCTTTAGACCGCGCAGACCATTTGAAGGACTTAACCAGGATCAGATTCAGCGGCTGCCGGCCGGTACACGAGAGTTTGCGATACAGCACAAGAAAGAGATAAGTACCGTTGTTGATAACCTCAAGAAAGCCCAGCACAGAATGATAGAGCAAGCTAATAAGCACCGTCGCCCCTGCAGTTTCAAGTAGGCGACTTAGTCTGGGTCAAGTCAAAAGAGTTTGCTCCTGAGGATAACATCTCACATAAGTTGTTGCCTGCGTATAGAGGACCGTGGCCAGTCTTAGAAGTCAAGGGCGGAGAGGATGGACCGTCCTATACTATTGAGACTCCAGCACATCTCCACACCTACCCAGTGTTCCATGCATCAAAGCTGTTGCCTTGCGTCACAAGTCAACAGTTTCCATCACGGCGATCCATGATCCCTCCGGATATGGATGGAAGATACGACATTGATGGTATAGTAGGTGAGGACGTCTTCAGGACAGGAGGTAGAGGTCGTCCGCAGAAACAGTACAAAGTCAGGTTTTCCTTCCAAGAGCCAGAAGACGACCCGCTGGTTCACGCGAACAGAACTTCTAGAGACAGCTCCCGACATAGTTAGAGCTTACGAAAGAGACAAGAAAGGTAAAGGTCCTGCCTTACACTGAAGTATTCTCGGAGGACCTTGAATTTAGGCCGGCGGGAGTGAAACGGTTTTCACCTTTTTGCAGTCACAGATGCGGGCCCTAGAGTTTGATCCCCAGACGGTCCAGACCTCACCTTACCCATGTACAGTATCGAGTTGACCCCTGAGTGTTTGAACCCGTGACCTGTGTTTCGGTAGTTGGGTGTATGCCTGTCGTAGGTCTGTGTAGATGTAGGGGTTCGATCTGTAGGTCTGTCGAGTAGGGAACACAGCTTTGTAGAGGTCGTAGCTGTTGGTGTTCTGAGGGGTCAAGGTCGTAGCTGCGACAGTCCTGAAAGGTCAAGGTCGTAGCTGCTACAGTATTCGAGAGGCCAAGTCCACAGACTTCCGGAAAGTCCGGAAGTGGCCTTTCGAAAGGGTCTCACGTTTAGCCAGAGGCATGTGGGCAAGTGGTAAGCCCAACTGCGTTGAGTCGGCAGTGCAACTGCGTCGAGTCGGCAGTGCAACCCCGTGCAGTCAGCGGTACCGGTTCCAGTCAGTCACAGTCCAGTCAAGCAAGTACCGTATGGGACTGTGCACACCCAGGGCCTGGTGGAAAGGGGCAGGCCAGCGGCAAACAAAATGAAGAGCAGCGCCCAGCAATTCATTCATTCGCTGCGTAAGCCATGCGGAAGCGCTGCTACAGCGTCTTGTGCGAGGTGGTCTGCAGGTCGCCCGAAGTCGAAGTGGACTGAAGAGAGACAATATAGCCATAGCTAGTAGTAGTAGAGAAGCCATAGCCGCTGTAGGAGGAAGATAGGCTTAGTGTGTTTGTGTAAGAGAGAGAAGCGTGTGGAGTATTCAGGGTGATCCAGAGTTGCGTATGTGCATACAGTGGTGTTGGACACTGTGACGTGAGTGGTGTGTGCAGGCGCTGAAGCGCCATAGCTTTTCTTGAAGTGAATTCGCATCTGAACTGTGTTCTCGTTTTCCATATCTCTGAGATTTGAGTGGGCGCACTGTGCCAGTGTGAATCACCATCTGTTTGTATGTATGCGAAGTGGAAAAGAAAGCGAGTCTGATTGTACGTGAGGCGAAGTAAAAACAACAGTCCACCAATAAAGCACTCCCTCAGTCAGGAGGGTAGACCAAACCTTCCCTATTGTTGCAAAAAAAGGTCCAAACAGAATGTCCCCTGTGCAACCGTCTATTGATACCAGCTGTGGGCATGCCTCCCAATGCTTTCTGAACCAATGAGCCCGGGCTCTACATCCCGTTGCTTTGTTTACTTTCTTTCTCCAGTCTAGGGAGATAATCTGTCTCAGGGCCTGCTTGATTCTGAGTATGAGCTGGGAAAAAACTTCAAAAAAACAGAAGTTACAGGACCACTGCCTGATCCCGCTGCCGCATTTCAAATTTCAATCCTGCCCCCGGATCTCATCAGCACCCGTCTCCTTCGCAGTCACGGTTCCCCCCCCCCCCCCCCCCCCCCCCCCCCNCCCCCTCCTTCTCCTTGCAACAAGGAAAATAATAGGTTCCTCAGTTGGTAAGGCCTGCAAGCGGCATTCAGGAGGTCTTGGGTTCAATGAACTTCAATCCCCATTGGCCTCATGTACCTTCCTGGGCAAACTTGGCGCCCTCCACCTAGAGAGGGAGGTCGTTGGTCCCCCCAAGCGGCATTGAGCAGAGACTGCTGATCTTCATAGAGGAAGGGGACTGAAGGGGAAAGGCACAACGACTGGCCCATCGAAGAATCTCGCTCCTGATGCTACTGGCTGACCCCTAGCCGGTATCGCCCACCTTCTGAAGCAGTTATCGCACCTGCTGGTGAGTCCAGCTCCCGCGTGTTCCCTCGTTGAACATGGATGTGGCTGCTATGGGGTCCTCCGTAATACTATAATAATGAATCATTAATGATAATAAAAAAGGCCTGAAAGCCCGTCCTGTCCAGATTTGACAGGTACTTGAATTGGATTAAAAAAAAAGAAAAAACGATTCCTGAGTATCTTTGCTGTGGTTGGTAATTTTCTTCCCGTCGTTTGTGTGTTGTGGTTGCTCTCTCTCTTTCTGTTTCTCTTCTCCTCTCAGGGCGTACTCACACTAGCAGTATCTCAAATGTATCTAACATGCACTTGCGGCCAGGCCTGGATGTATGTGACCAGAAGTACGCCCAAAAATAAGTTAAAAAGTCGCAGTTTGGGTATGCCCTCGGTGGTCCATAAAAAAAAGGGGGGGGAAATACCAGCTGGTACACCCATGAACTGTCGAAATACAGTCCCAAGTTCCAATCCAGATGCAACCAGATTACCTGGGACCGGTCAGTCCCATGATGATATCTCAAGGCTGTGGCCCCTCTTTTTTTTTGTTAAAAACACAGCGAAAATAATAAAATAGGAATTTTCAAAAAAGTTGAAGGGCATGCAGTTGTGATTCTTTGCCTTGCCTCTTTGTGGTCCCGGGGCTAAGTCCCACAAGCAAAGTTGAGGAAACTGAATGCCTGAATCTGGACGTGTTTGGGGAGATGTACGGTTGAGGATTCGAATCTCAACGCGATTTTCTGCACGTCTCCACAAACACGTCCAGATTCAGGCGTTGAGTTTCCTCAATTCTGCTTGTGGGACTTGCCCCAGAGGCTAAGTCCCACTAGTGGGGGTTTAATCTTTTCCTTTCGAGTATTTTTTTTTTTCAATGTGGCCACCGTGCGGCCTCCTGAGATTTCCGGATTGGATGGCACGGACCTGTGTGTACACACGAAACATGAACTAAACCCAGCACTTGGGGCAGCAACAAGAGGAAATAAATTTGACACTGACTCGCTGAGTTTTCCCCTTTTCTTTTCTGTTGATTCTTGCTGGCCACCAGATTTTCAACGCCCTACAAGCAGCGTTGCGATGACCCCAGATTTGCTTACGAATTGGATGATTAAGGGAAGGAAGAGGCGAGCTGGAGAAATGTTTTTGCGTGTTGGCTCGATGTTTTTCGATGTGAAGACCAGATCCGCACGCGGAAGCCGTAAACAAAAGAAATACGTCAACGATGTTAATGATGATCAAGTGGAACCATATCCTGGAGACCACTCGTCTGTCTTACCAACCAAGAACTTCAAGATAGAGTGGGCAGAAGCCTCGCATCTGAAAAGGGTACGCCTCTTCGCTTATTATTATTACTATGTAGGCGACCAGGGTTGCACCAGCCAAGCATGCCAGCCCAGGCACCTGCGCAGGTTGCCCGGCCGTCCACTTGCCCGGGGGAAGACTGGGCATCTAAAAACTCCGGGAATTTTTTTTATTTTTTTTTTTTTTTTTTTTTTTTTTTTTTTTCCCTCGTTACTGAACTTACTGGGCCTTTTTCTGCACCCAACGAAAGCAGCCCAAGTCCGGGCTCTTTTCTTGTTTTTTGGTGTTGTCTGTTTAACGGGGGGGGGGGGGGGGGAGAGGGGTGTAAATGGGGCATCCGCTTGCAGTGCAATTCTACACAATGTCGTTTTTTTTCCCAGATTGTTTGATTTTTCTTTTTTCAACTGGGGCCACCTGGCACCCCGCCCGGGGTCCTGCCCAACCAGGTGGCCAGGGTGTCCGGGCACAAAATTCATGCCTGGGCGCATGGGGAAACAGCCTATAATGATAATGAAGTTAAATAAAAAAAATATTTTTATTTTATATTATTTATAATGTTTAAATCATTCGTTCTTCTGCTATTATTATGAATCTATTAATAATATTATATTATTAATTTATTATATTCTTTTAAGGGGTTATTGGCAGTTAGCCCCTAAATGTATGGCATCCAATGTCCATGAGGATCGGAAGATTTGAACTCTATATCTGCTGATCTTTATAGGCAGTCAAAAGAGTTCAAATCTTCAGAATTTTAAAGTGTTAATTAATATCAACACTTATATAATGTGTGTAGTACATAGTACAAAGTACTAGAAAAGTACTAGAAACACTGTGTACCATTGTCCAGAAGTCAGGTGCGTAACTGTACGATTTCTTTTGACTGCCAAAGCACAGTTTCACATCGGTGATTCGTCACCGAAAAAGAGGAGAACAAACAAACAAACAACTTTACGTCTGTGCGATCCTGTGAGTGAATGGGGGCTGATGATGATTTAAAATAAGTCATGAAAACTTTAAAAAGGTGCTATAATCCGGTGGAAACCCACAAAACACAGCTCAAGGTAACGACTTGGTAGCTTTATTCTGTTAAACCACCTGTACTTGGCCCATACATCGGCCACGGCCCCCTCGCATTAACGCGGTGTGACTTTCGGTGACAGCTGGGCGTTGATAAATCTTATCAATTGGCTTTGTCATGTTTACGGCATCCGAAAGTCACGGTGAGGGGCTCTCAGCCGATGCGTGGTTCAAGCACTGGTGGTTTAGAAAACCAAACACTGATTCTTTGTGAAGTGCAAGACACCCTGCATATGTGCTGTAACAGTTAAATAGGAAGTGGTGAACCCAATTTTGCATGTGTGTGTGTGTGTGTGTGTGTGTGTGTGTGTGTGTGTGCGTGTGTGTGTGTGTGTGTGTGTGTGTGTGTGCGTGTCAACATCCCCAAACTCTCTCTCTCTCTCTCTCGTTCCTTCCACATACCATCACAAACCATCCATAAACAAAAGAAGTATAGATGAGCAATATAATAGAAAGTGCAAGGTTCCCCACGTTTGTGCGGTTGAGCAGGAAGTGCCCACACACCCATCTGCTGCCGAAGCGGCATGTGTGTGTGTGTGTGTCCAGTACATCCCATGGCGTACTCATCATGCACTCCATGGAACCCATGGTACACCCCGCCCTGCCGTAACCAAACAAATGCTGTATGTTGCCACTCTACTACTTCTCATGAAGCTACCTCGTACATACATAAGTGGTTATTCATGACCAGCTTTCCAAAGTGCCAGACATATAGGCTAGAGGGCATGGGGAAGGCGGGAAGGCAGACAACAGGCAAGGACACCAGCAGACAAACCAAAAAAACAAGTCCCAAAAGGGTGCCAAGCAGACAAGAAAAGCATCAAGGCGTGCCAAAACCAAGAAAGCAAAAAGACATCAAGGCGAAAGCAGTGAGGTGAACCATAGGCTGGAGGGCAGGGGGGAGGTGGGAGGGCACTGGAGACCACATGCAAGCCCACCAAACAGGCAAACCAGAAAAAAATGCAAGTCCCCCAAAAAATCGAAAGATCGAAAAAAATAAAAGCTGATGATGATAGATTGTTTTGTTGGAGTTGCACCGACTCATCAGGAGGCTAAACCCTCGACAATCTGCGGAATCCCAGAATTGATGGTTTGGGTCATGAACCCTTTGACCCATGTTGAAGGCAGACTGTCCCCAAGCAGCACATAGCAGCGGGCAGCAACTCAGCGAAGCACCACGTGACACTGCCGAAGCAACCCAACTGCTCGACTGTTTGGCACTGCTTGAGGGTGCTCAGCTAGGGACTCTAAAAAGTACTTAGAAAATAACAAAAAAGAAGAAACATACGTAAAAATGATTGTGTGTGTGTGTGTGTGTGTGTGTGTGTGTGTGTGTGTGTGTGTGTGTGTGTGGTATAGACAACTCCACAGAAAAGCATGCCTGTGCCAGACTGTTGTGTTGGAGTGTGTTTGTTTTAGACTGTCACCAGAGCAGTTCCCAGATGAGTAGATCGTATGTGTAAACAGCCTTACTTTACAATCTTCTATCAAGTTATACATTATATTTTAAACGATCTTACCGCGTTCTCTCCGGTGATGATGTTTTGGCAAAACTGAAATTTCACTGCTGTATTTTGAGTGGTGCAAGGGCTCCCGCAGGTATGTGTTGGGACTGGGCCAGAGGATAGACAGTAGATACACACACACAAGTTGCAGGCCTGCCTTTCAGTGCACTTGCACCGGATGTCTCTTATACGGACAATTTATTTTTGTAATTATTTCCCCAGATTACGGAATACATATGGAGAAGGATTGAGTTTGTTCATGCGTGAAGTGAGACCCGTGACATCGTGGAAGTCTGTTCACAATGCAAATACAATACCTTTCTCGCCGTTTGGGCTAAAAATAGATCAAGTGCACTGTATCTGTTGTGATCAGTATATATTTGATCTGTGGTCCATCGAGGACCACATAAAAATAAAAATAAAAAAATACAATACATATTCCAATTGGCATCTGTCTATAGATTGTTTCCTTCGTGATGCTCATTCGTACGTATTTAGCAGTTTTGCACGGGGGGAGAGGGATGGGGAAGAAGGGGGGGGAAAGAAGGAAGGGGGAGAGAGAAAAGAGGAGAAGGAAAAAATCATAAGCTCCTGAGTACTCATGCCGTAGCGCATTATTCAGACCTGCGGAAGCAACTCCACACAAGCAAAATGGCTTACAGCCTTCCTGCTTTTTTTTTTTTTTTTTTTTTTTTTTTTGAGTATGTTGGCCGTGGGATTCCATCGTCAAACCGCCTTGAGCCCAGGTAATTCAGAATTATTGAATTTCATTCATCTAGTTCTGTCTGGGTTCGAACTCTGGTCTGCATTTCAGACCAGGTTCATGGGTGTACCAACTAAGCTAAGCCCATTGGTTGGATTCCACCGTTGCCGTGTTCCGCATGCCAGGAACACATTGTCAATAGTGTGGCGTCCACAGCTACCGGCACTGCATTTCCAGCCCCTCTCTCTGAGCAGAGAGGACATGCCATGAGATAGTGCAATAGGTGACGACATAGAGAGTGCGGTAGGTGGCGGCATAGAGAGATTGTCATCAAGAGAGTGGAAACGAAGACTTGTGTGGACGTTACCCTCGTAATGGTCATGACACAGAGAATGCTGATCGCATGTTAACCGACTATCAGCTGGGGGGAGGGGCGAGGGAGGGGAGGATTAAAAGAACAGATTGGGGGGGGCATCCTTGGCGCAGTTTTGTTGGACAAGGGTACTTTTTTTTTTTTTTTCTGGACTTCTTTATGGTCCTTGACGGTCAGAACACGTTTTTTTTTTTTTTTTTGTGTGTGTGTGTATGGAAAAGAGCCGGTGGACAGCTAGGTGGGGTGATAAAAGCACCTCCCCCTAGTGGGCCCCTGCCGGTTGCCCCGAGAGAGAGCACGCATTCAACTTCATTGTTTTCTTGTGTTTGTTCACAGCATACCACTCAGCTCATAGCAAGGCGCTACTTTTTTTCCTTTTGTTAATTTTGAAAGGGGACAGGCCTATAAAAAAAAATAAAAAGAAACAGGACAGCCTGGACAGGCCTATAAAAAAAAAAAAAGAAAAAAAAAGGGACAGACACGAACATTGTTGGACTAATCTGATCCGGATTCTGGACGAATTCGAACTCCTGAACCGTTTACTAACAGTTACATGTGTATACAAGTCCGCCACATGGGGGCTGAGTATAGCAAGGTCACGGTGTTTTACGTGGGTATGTTTGTTGAGGTTTGATTCACTCCTTTGGGCATTTGACTTTGACATCTCTGGCCACAATTTTTCGGCATTTTGTGAGCCGCAATCATTAGCCGTACTGGCGGGAACCAGGTAAGGCCTAACGATTTCGCTTCAAAAAATGCGGAAATTGCACCGGGAATGTCAAAGTTAAATGCCCAAAGGGGTATTAGAAAGGCGAAGAGAAAATGGGCTCCAATCTATTGCCGGGATTTTTGGTTGCAAATTACTGATTCTGTTTTGCCCATTTGGCATGTACTCATAAAGCCACCCTAGAGAAGTTTTGCTGTGCGGAGGAAGAGAATGTGCTGAGGAGGCTTTCAGGTTCGACCATGTGCTGCTTATCACTCTTTCTTTTTTTTTTCTTTTTTTCTTTTTTAAAGGGTTGTGGAGGTGTCGGGGATTCGACTCTGATCGGGGAGCTGGCGGGGACTGCACGCACCAGGTTTTCATAACAAGAGATGCTTAACATGTAATTAGTGGATGGCATGACATGGTGGGAGTCTATATGCATTTGGACGCGTTTCTGGACCAGGTGCGTTTGGATGAGTCCAAGATTTGGAATCTATTGGGACGATTTCCCACGGTTTCTCTCCATCTCAACCATGTATACAATTGATGTTGTTTTTAAGTAATTATGAAATTAACTATTAATAATTCATTCATTCGTTCATTAGGTATCTACATAGTTAATTAATTATTGTCCAATTAATTCATTAATTTGCTAGGCTACTTGGGCCAACCAGCTGCGCAGCCCGGCCCGAGCGTCCGGGCAAGTTGCCCGGGGGTTTCTGGTACCCAGGGTACCTGGGCATGGGAATAAGTGGGGCCTTTTTTTTTTTTTTGTNGAGAGAGAGAGAGAGAGAGAGAGAGAGAGAGAAAGAGAGAGAGACAGAGAGAGAGAGAACATACGTCCTTAGCAGACAGCACACGCGCATTGACGCCATGCACAACGTTTTTTTTTTTTTAATCTTGGCCTTTCTCTCTCTCTGACACACAGTGGCGGACCCGTGAACATGATCGGCACCGGTTAATTGAACGTGACCGGCCATTCATTTGGTGATTTTTTTGTGAACGGGCCGACAACTAAAGAGTGGTTTTTTTTTTTTTTTTTTTTTTTTTGGGTTCCCCCATGTACATTCGCCTCAAGCCCCACAGCGTGATGACATTGAAAAAATAAAAACAAATTGAAATAACCTAGAAAATAGCAAACGAAAATGCTTATTTTAGCTGTTTGAATTTTTTTTTCCCATTTTTAATTAAAAAAAATATTATTCGTGAAAAAAACAAAATTGAAAAAATTATAGGGAGTTACCCTTCGATGTCCCCCACCCTCCTCTAAAAAAAAACATACCCCCCCAGCCAAAAAAAAAATTAAAAAAAAATAGAACACTCTCCGTGAACTCCATGAACTCCCGTGTTGTGAACGCTGTGAACTCCATAACCGATCTCCGTCCACAGACCCTGTGAACGGTGAACGGGGGTACAACATTGCTGACACACAAACACACCCACACCCACAACCCTTCGCCACACATTACGTGTCTCCTTCTGGACAGATATCTATGTGTGTGTGCATGTGAGTGTGTGAGATACAGAGACACACGAACAGAGAGAGAGAGAGAGGGAAATGTGAAAAAGACAGAATTTTGGCGCGTACATCTTACCATGATCTTGCGCCAGCTTTTTTCTTCTTTTTTTTCGAGTGAGGCCCAAATCAAAATGGACGGGTCAAACGGGGGCGAGGTCCCACTAGCAAAGAGAATTGGATTAAGCGCCTGAATCTGGATGTCTTTACGAAAGAGATTCAAAAAAGCAGTTCAATCTCATTTTTCTACACCTTTCCACAAACATGTCCAGATTCGAGCATTCATCCAACCCTTTTTGCTAGTGGGATCTCGCTCCGGGAAAGCTTGCTTGCTCGACTCTTTCATCGACAAAAAAAAAAATGACAAAAAAAAAAACCGACAAAAAAAAGAAAAGAAAAAAAACAGCCTGGCTCCACCACTCACTAAGACCCACAGAAAAAGAAGAAAAAAACAAAGAGGGAGAAAAAAAAAAAGAATAAAATCTAGACAACGACAAAAAGCAAAAGCCAAATTGATGATAAAGAAATATACATCATGGGTATGGGTGTGGCTGGGTTGGTGGTTGGCGGGCGAGCGTGCGTGTGTGTCGGTGGGTAGGTGAGCGTGCGTGTGTGTCGGTGGGTAGGTGGCTGGGTGGATGGGTGTCAGCCCGTGCACAGAATTGGCTGTCACGAAGCAGGAAGGGGGGTATATCAATTGGTTTTAAAGGGGCTAAAGGGGTTTTAAGGGGGGTGCCTTAGTCTGATCCTGTTATCTCTGATTCCCCGAGGAATTCTGTTGTGATCCTCAGCCATAAGTAGTCTGCATGGCAATTCTACACAACATGTTTTTTTTTTTGTTTTTTTTTTTTGGCGCTTGGGCTGGCTGGAACCCTGCCCGGGTGTGTATCCAGGCAGCACCCGGGCACAAGTTGTGAACCACTGAAACCGGTCGCCCAGAAAAGACAACCTACCGTCTTCACCCGAATAGAACGCCTGGTCATTATCGCTGCATCTGGACCGAAAGTTGTGCCAAAAACAGCTAAAATGACCGGGCGTTCTATTCGGGTGAAGACGGTAGTTAGTAGTTGATGAGTTGATTGAAGATTAACTAATGTGCAAATAAATAAAAGTTATAAAACACATCTCACCATTTTGTCAAAGGTTTGGATGCTGTGCTGTGTGCCTTGAACAGCTGCAACAACTCGAGGAGTTCTTCTCAACGGCACGTAAATATCACTCCAATCATCTGCGAGCTACATTGGATCGTCTCAATGATGTGAGGAAGCATGCATGCTCTGTCCCTGCAATTGCTGCTGAGGTATTTTCATGCCTGCCATCTCTATGCTGAACCATTGGAGGAATCTTGTGCTCTGCGTAGACCCTGCACACCTGTACTCCCTCCGTCCCTCCCTCCCTCCCTCCCTCCGTCCCTCCGTCCCTCCGTCCCTCCCTCCCTCCCTCCCTCCCTCTCTCTCTCTCTCTCTCTCCCTCTCTCTCTCTCTCTCTCATTGATCACATCAGTCACTGCTTTGCTATGTCCTACCATACGGAGGGAGGGGGGGGAGGGGTTGTATAAAGGGGGTGGGCATGTTGTCAGGCCTTAAAACTTACTACACTCGACATCCTTCATTTGGGGGTAGATGTTCATTGTCACGCCCAGCCATCCAACCAATCCGCCAATCATACGCCCTCTCTCACCATCCGTCATCCCTGACTCCCTCTCCATCAACTGTGAGATGCTTTAGGAGAAGTGGGTCGCTCATTTGGATCCTCTAGATTGACACCATCAACGGTCTTGATCCCCTTTCCAAGACGAATTTGTCAAATTGCCTAGCTTGCAGATTGCGTTCCATCTCGTTTTGCTTTCAAGTTGGAGGTTGCGGCAACTTACAAGCACATGTAGTTGTTGCGACTTGCGAGCTGTCGTGACGCGTAGCCTCCCGTCACGTTGATCTTCTTCTCGCTCATTAAAAAAACACCATGAAAATGGTATGAGCTTAGCAAATTATGATTACGAAATTATATGAATGCAATCATTGCAATGCATATAACTCTTGCTTGATGTTGGGAGAGGCTCTGAGTACTTCACAGTGCAAGTACGTCATGCGGATTGGAATGGACTGTTTCCTGTGAGGTTGAGAAGAGTACCTTCTTCTCCCGAATACAACGTACGGTCATTATGCCTGTATCTAGACTGACATATGCCTCAAATACAGCTATAATGACCATACGTTGTATTCGGCGGAAGAAGGTAGTAGACATTGTAGACGAAGAGATTGAGAGACGAATTCCAAATCACATGCCGGAGCAATTCGTCAATAAGAAGAAGCCGAACAGCGCAGATTGCTCCCAATTACGGGAGGATATACTGTTGGTGATCGGAGATCATGACTGTATTAGACTGGAAAGATAGCCTGTGAGGCTGTAAGCATTTATGGTGAGGGTGCGTTTTGTCGGGGGAAGACGGTGGTGTCACACTTGCAATTGAAACGTTCCCGAGTACCAGCCTTACGGCAGCGAGACTTACATCTATGAGACCACCACCTCCATAGCCACTATGTATCTGGTGTTTTAGTAGCCTTTGACTGGATACCTTAAACCACCAGTACCTTTCCCCGCTTGAAATCTACGACGCACGGGGTAACACGGTAGCCAAGCGGAGGACGCCCGCAGTTGATAAATCGAATCGGCGACCCTTTTTCGTTTTGGGCCTCCTACACTGCCCGCGGCAACCATATTGGAAAGGTACTGGTGGTTTAAGTACAGATTCGTAGGCCAAAGGCAAGCGAGGCGCTGCCACCAGGCATGGTGCTCTCTTCGAGAACGCGCCCACTAATTCAAGATCCTGGACCCTGTATTTACTGATGCCTTCAGTGAGAGATTCTCAGAAAGACCAGACTACCTAACGAACAGGCTAGCTAACCAATTCTCTCCCCCCTCCTTTCTTCCCCTTAACCATAGCCAGCGACCAGTGACTTTCCTGCCGAGTTCCAATCCATCCAAAGCTAAATTGCCGAACCCATCCTTGGGGACATCCATTAAAATTGGAACGATACAGAGAAAGAAGATTAGCATGGCCCCTGTGCAAGAGACCAAATTGGCGACCCCAAAAATTCATTTTGCCAAGCCTGAAAGAGACCACCACCGGCTGTTGGATAAAACAACATGGTACTGGTACCAGCCTTTGTATTAGTGATAAGTCTGGGCCTCCCACAGACATTTTGGGCCCAAAGTTACCGTTCATCCGTTGCTCTACTGGTCTTGGGCCGAATTGACCGAGGGACCGAGGGGCAGTACTCGTACACGAAAAGGGATGAACAGTAACTTTAGATGGACTGGTGGTTTAATCCTGGATGACTTACAGCTATGGAGCCACCATCTCCGTAGCCCCTACGCCTTAGACCAATCTCCAAAGTTACCATCCTGAGAAACACTGGGCTACCCAACCAACTTTCTCCCGAGGTTGCCATCCTGAGAAACACTGGACTACCCAGCCAGCCCTCACTTAGCCCATTGCCAGCTTAACCCAGTCGTGCATCACACGTAACCCATGGCTATGGGTTACAATGGGTTACCTTAGACCACCAGTACTTCCTATAGTCGTGCCCGATGTACAGGGACGCTGGACCCCATTTCCAGCAGGTGACGCTCCCCATCAATAGACTGGAGCAACCAGAAAGGCTGCTAGGCGGGAGCGCTCATATCAGCCCCCCTAACAGCTAGACTGGGTTACGAAAAAAAAAAGAAAAACAAGCCACGGTTTTAGGAAACGTACGGGCCACTACAGGAGCGCCCAAATTCATCCAACTAGAAATGTTTCTACTCTATTTTCTTCCGCGGCCAATAGCTGGGCCAAGTACTGGTGGTGTAACCCATGGGTTACAATAGGTTACCTTGACCTATGGGCTACCAAGGGTTACCTTAACCCACCTTACCCATGGGTTACCTTTACCCATGGGTTACCTTAACGGTCTTCACCCATGGATTACGCTAACCCAGGGGTTAGCTAACCTAACCCATGGGTTACATTAACCCATGGCCAGCTTCTGGTTCCACCGTTCCGGTAGTTGGTTACATGTGATGGCAAGATCCAAACCCAATCTATTGCCACTTAACAACAGATCCCTTAGGCCACCATCCYCCCCCCCCCCCCTCTTTTTGGCCACCATCCTTATGGTTTCTTGAACATGAAAAAACACCTACAAAGACCAGACCTACAACAAGATAGAAACTGCAGAAAAGCAAGCCTTATCAAACACCACGCCCCACCCTCACTGCGGCAAGCCTTTACAACTGCAGAGCCACTGTCTCCCAAGAACCCTGAACCTTATACCAATCACCAAGGCTGCCATCGCCAGTGGCACAATCAAACCTTTCCTTTTAGAAGGCTTATATTGACTTACAAACTCGCACACGATGCACATGCATGCAATCGTAGTTCGCCATACAGATACAAGAGCAGAAGACAAACACGACATCAATATTATTAATGCTTTGACCGAATAAAATATTGTTGATGCCACCCGATAGGCGCTGCGCTGTCAGCTCAACGATGCAAACGCAAAGCATTATCCAGCCAATCATCTCCCTAGACTTCATCCATGACTCCACATACCCACAAAGTGGAATCAAGGGTAGCCATGCGCCAATCCGTTGCTAATCTCCATCAACGCCGGAAAGAGGATTTCCCTACTCTCTCATAATGAGATATATACCTCCACGCCAACACTCACGCGTCGTCGACTCTTCCCCTATCTGTCACGCCACACTGCTGCCGCCAATTTTTGCACGGAGTCACATTTGTTTGTGAGAATGTCCAGGTTCTTCTGGAAGAAGTCATCGGGGTGACCTTTCGCGCGGTACTCCCGGCGCATAGTCACAATCTGAGCAGCTATCTCCGCTCGATCAGTACTCTTCCTGTCCATCCGACGAAAACTTCCCATCGCAGCCTCCACTTTCTTCGCTTTCTCTATCCACAAAGTGAAGTCTTGCCCAGTCCCAAAAATCAGGGGCCTGTTTGTCCACAGGACCACAGGGTACCCTTGTTTCTGACCAGCTGAAGGGACCCGAGGTACCAGTGGGACTGTTGAATCCTCGTTCGACAACCTAAGAAGATCCAGGGCCCTGACTGTCATCCATCCATTTCAGGGTCAAATTCCCGGGGTAGCACCTTTCAAACAACACCCCCGAATTTCGTTGGCCCTTCTCGATGAACCCAGGTCACCCAGAGGGTAAGAGTCCGTAAGACACAAACAGGGAAGCATCATCCACAAGCCTCACTCCACATACAAGCTTCCTTCTAGGAGGACAACTATACGATCATTTGAACTTTGATTTTTTTAAATTTCTTATTATTGTTATTATTATTATTTTGGGTCCAATAGACCACGGATCAGATATTGAACTGATCAGAACAGATACTACACTTGATCTATTTTTAGCCAAATGGCCGAGAAAGGTATTCAATTTTGATTTCTTATCCTATGTCCAGAGAGCTTTTGAGTCTTCAACTTGTAACTGATGGGTGGACTTATACATTGGGCCTCGCCAAGTCGCTCACGAAAACGATACGAAATTCCACGAAGTGCTCTCGAATCCTTCGGCTATTTTATGCGCATCATCACACAACACTCTGAAACAGGTCACTCATGAAAGCTGGCTGGGAAAGGGGAAAACGAAAAAGAAAGCTGGTCGTGAAAAGACAGTCAAGTTAGAGTCAACCCCATGGAAAGGGCAAACAATTGCTGGGGGTTGCAGGACAGTAGCTGCAGTCCATTTTTCAGTCCAAATACATGCAGTGAAATTCGGCATTCGTGTGGAGCCCCGACTGACCCCATCCACGGCTACACACTTTAGGGAGCGAACTTCCAGGCCCGGAGCCCTCTCTGGCACATGTTGGTCTGGGCCCCGGACAGAGCGGGAACAGTGAAATGCTAATGAAAAACTTCTGCATTCGTGTGGAGCCCCGACTGACCTTAAACCGCCAGTACACGGCCCCAGCCTTGCAGAAAGTTCTTGTCGCCACAAGCAAAACTCGGAGAGGCCGCTCAGCATGAGGCACCGTTGAAAAAAAAAATTGCGGCCTCCGAAGTGGTGCGGGTTCCACGCTGACACCCGCGGGCCTATGTATGGTGTACTGGTGCTTTAAACCACCAGTACCTCAAGCTCTTGTCAGACCGACCCTGGGGCTACATCTAAGCCGAACCTTGCTGAGCCTACGGCTACCGGTAGTCGGAGATGAAAAATTAAAAAAGAGAAAAAAAAGAAAAATGACATTTTTTTAAGAATATAAATAAAAACTACATGAGAGAGAGAGAG